TAATCATTGAGCCATCTCTCCAGATTCCTCAGGCACTGTTCTAAATGAGTCTCATGGACTGTCTTGTTCTTGTCTAACAGAAAAGCTATAAATTCAAACTATTTTCAGCCTCAGTTTCAGAGAGGTAGGATAACCTTCCTCAAACCATGCTTGGTAATCGGTAAACCTGACCAGGAGGTCTAGTCACAGGACAAGTGACCAGTTGTCTCTGCTTCTCAGAATATTTTGTTTCTTTCTAAAATGCCTGGCCACATCTCTATTCCAAACAGACACCAGTACCTGCACAATCCTGCTAGTAATAGCCCCCTTCTTGTCTTCTAGAAACTACACACATGCTCTCAGAAAGGCAGGGGGTGAGGCAGGGGGATCTCTCCTTCCCTCTTTTTCCCCCCTCCCCCTCTCTTTTTTTTTCATTATTTCTTGACAGGGTCTCTTTATGTAGCTGTGCCTGGCCTTGAACTCCCAGAGATCTGCCTGCCTCTGCCTCCTGAGGACTGGGATTAAAGGTGGTTGTCACTGTGCCCTGATTCTTTTCTTCCATGGTTCAGAAAAGGACCCCAAACATACTCAGAACTTGTTGAAGTCAATTAAATGAAAAGATAAGATATAAATGAACTATGGATTAATGTGGTGAGTGACCATCTATTTTAGCCTCAGTTTGAGCGCTGTTCTTGTATGGTACTATGTTGCCCCCATGTGGCCACTTGTAAGATGGCAGACAGTAAACAACTAATTTTGATAGAAATTTTCAAAATTTTAGAATAATGCAGGAAGTAATATAGTTAATTTGTTATATCTATCACTAAGATTTTAAAGTCATGTATGTTTTCTATGTTCTATTTGCATTTGAGTTCCAGATATCACTGTAATACATTAGCATACACCTTAAAATGAGATCAGCTCATTTTACAGATAAGAAAACTGAGGCATAGAGAGGTTCAACTACTTGTTCAAGTTAATATGCACTGAAATCCAGACACTTTGTCAAAGCCAGGAACTCCTCACCCTAGCTTTTAACATGGCTGCCTGTATCTTTTCCAAAATAGGTCACTATGCACATGTTACCTCCCATAGGAGACTTCCCAGGGCATCCAGTTCATGGTATCCTCCATTGAACCCTCAGCTTTTGACGTATTGACGCCCGTTTTCCATGCTAGGAAATTCATATTCATTCACTTTCTTTTGTACTGTCTTGTCTATATTGTCTCCATCCTTTGCCCCACCCCCAAACCCTGGGGTATCCACTCCTCAAGATTAGGGACCACATCTGAATTGTCCACTTCTGTAGTTCAGGCCCTGGCTGGAAGGTGTCAGGGGGCTGGAAACATTTAGTAGAATGAATGGAGGGGCTGGATCTTGTAGTACCCTACAGCTTGGAGTATCAACACTCAGGAAGTAAAAGCAGATACCCTGCGTTTCATAGCTAGACCTTGTCTTAAAAAACAAAAGACCGAGGCTTGGAAAGATGACTCAGTGGTTAAGAGCATTTACTCCTTTTTAAAGAGGACCTAGATTCGAATCCCAGAATCTATATGGTAGTTCACAACCATCTATAATTCTAGATCCAGGGGATTCAGTGCCTTTTTTTTTTTTTTGTCCTCTGCAAACACCCATCATACATGTGGTACGGACAGACAGACATGATGGCAAAACACTCAAACACAAAATAACTAAAGCTTAAAGGTGTGTGTATGTGTGTGTGTGTCTCGGGGGAAGTTGAGGCTATAGCACTGTGGTAGAGTGCTTGCCTAGTTCAGTTAAGGCCCTGGATTTGATACCTAGTACTGCAAACAGACAAAGAACAATAAAAATAAGAATGGAAGAGAGGGAGAGGGAAGGAAGATAGGAAGGAAGCGGGGACAAAATCCCAAGCTCTCTAAGAGAGTGAGGCAGGTTATAGAAGGAGAGAAGATGGAGGGCAGAGAGGAAAGCAAGATTCGAAGATGCTTTTGGCAGGTGCTCAGGACCATGAAACATCAAGAGTGAGTGGGTAAGTCCAAGCCAGGCCTCCACTTGGCTGGGAGGACATTGCTCTGATTAGAGTTGCCAGACTTGGCAAATAAAAGCACAGGATGACCAGGTTAAACATTAATTTCAGATAAACAGGGAATAATTTTTTTTATGGAGCTATCCTTGCCTGGCTCTCTGCTTGGTGCTAAGTGTTGTGGGAGATCCTGTCGACTCTAGTCTGCTTTTTAAATACAGAACATTTTGTTTTTGCTCCTGAATAACGAAGCACAAACTCTTTATTGATCTAAAAGAAGGACAGATTTCTCAGACAGATGGCAGCTTGTTACAGGAGAATGCTTCTGGAGTCTTAAGGGAAGGAAAGGGGGAGGTGCCAGTGTATTGTTCTGAGCCCATGGTGGCCTTCTGGAATCTGCTTGTCCCCTGGTACTTTCTTCTCCAGGTCTGGTGACCCGGAGTAGTGTTTAGCTCCCTGGTTGCTGCTAAAGAGAACAGGAGAGAAACATTCAGCTCAGGAGGAAAAGGCAGGATGGGAATGTGAGGTCACTGATGATCTGCCCGTTCATCCCATCTCACTAAGTGGCTGGGGGCAAGTCTTCAGAGATGAATGGCATGGGGTGTGGCCTTGAGGCTCTGCACAGAGAAGGTAGTGCCTCCTCACCCTTGCCTCTTCTCTCTTTCCTTTCCTTCCTCCCCCCTTCTCCCCTCCCTCCCTCCCTTCTGCATTCTTACTTCTTTTCTCATATATATCTTTTTTACTTCCTCAGCCATTTGTCATCTTAATTACCCAGTATCCAGATGGGACTCTAAAGGAATAACTACTGCACACTGGTTTTATTGTTATTGTCCTATCTTTGCACAGATACCTGCTCCTGATGCAACCACAATTAACCAACAGTACCCAACGCAACCTAGAGTTCATTTGCATACTCTTCTCTGATTGGTTGGTACAAATCCACCAGGCACCTAACCCTTCACTTATCTTCCCTTTGCTGGTTTGCTCAATCCGGTGTCCTGGGATTCTCAGATTTGTCCCTGCTCCTGCTCCGTGTGCCCTTGTCTGCTCAATAAAGTGTCTCTGGTGATCTCTTTGGGTTGAAGTTAAAAATCTGGATCAAGCCTAAGCATTGCCACTGACAAAATTATGTGACCTTGATGAATCATTCTGCTGTTCTGACACTCTGTTCCTATATCTGTAAGTGAGAAGAATTGCCTTGACTGGATTTTTAGGAGAATATTCTGTGGTAGTTAGTATATGCTCAAAAGCCAGATAGCCTGAGTTCAAAGCCTGCTTCTACTTATCTGCAAATGCCCTGCACCCATGACCTATTTCTCTTTCTTCTGAATAATAAATTAATAAGCCGAATAAGTGCATAGATGTAAAAACACAACAGTGCTTTGAACACAGGCGGTCTAATATGTGTTAGCTATTACTGTGATAGATATTAAAGTCTATTGTCTAAATGTGGTTCATGGCATTATTGCCCAATTCATATGTGAGTATGGGCTAGGAAAAATTAGTTGGCTCAGAGTACAGAGGTCCCTTTATGAAGAACACTCAAAAGAATGAAGCCCTAACCTGCTGGGCTCCAGTCTTCACATTTGTAAAGTGTCTATGACAACCGCACCTCTGCCTCTTTCCCAGGAGAGCTCACATGCCTGGCCCACTGTAAGCCTTCAAAACAAACATGTTGCATGAGTGAATGCATGGGCCACATGGGTGTCAGTGACATGGCAAGCTACAGGGTTCTGTCTTGGGTGGCAGCTGGACTAACTTGTGGCCCCTGAGACCTACTAAAGTGGAGGCCCACGAAGGCAGGGGGTGAATGCTGAGCTGAGCAGCCAGGCTGACTGTGTGTTGGTTAGCATTCCACATCTAGATGATGGGATTCTGGTTAAACCAGCCTAAAAGGATCCTTGCTGGAGACAGGTCAGTGTGGTAAGACATCACCTGGGAGATGGATGAGGACGAGGAACCTATCAAGCAGTTGGAGTTATTTGAGATGAAGATTGTGCTTCCTATTAAACTGATTTAGTAATGCTCTCTGCTAAAACCGGGCCTTACGAGGAACATTGGCTAGGAGATGGTTCAGGAGCCAGACTGAAGTTTGGTCAAGGAGAAACTCTTTGTCAGTCTGCATGGGAAACATCTGGGAACTAAATGCCAGTATTAACAGTGGTTATCTCTGAAGAACAGAAGTAACTTTAAATGAAAATTTTAGAGGTACGGGCTGGGGGAGTCGGTAAGTGGTAGAGCGTAGAGCACGTGCTGAGTAGGGATAGGGCTGCATTTGACGCCTCCCCCTGTACTTAAGGCAAGAGTTCCTGTTTAGATCATGTAGGCTCTCTGTGGCTCTGGTGGATGCCACTATCGCTCACAGAAAGCAAGGTTGAGACAGAAGTGTAACTTTGGATGTTTGCAAGGAGCAGGGCAGATCTCTACAGCAACCAGAGAGTACGACCTGAGGGGAAGACAGGAGCCTAGACCTTGAAAACTGTCAAGGCTTAGACTTCATTTGATTCCTGACTGTCTTTTTTCCTAATAATCAATCACCTCCGGGAATCTTTTGTTTATTCATTTTCTGAGACAGATTCAAGCTGCCCTTAATTTTTCCAATCATCCTCTTGTTGTCCCCCGGGGTCTAAGGACTGCACCACTCCAGGCTGCACCCCGGAATTCGCACTTTTTCCTCGGAGGGCGTCCGAAGACACTGAAGCCTGACGCAGGCTAACTACAGCTCCCAGCATGCCGTGCGCTTCGCCGCGAGCGCGGCGCGCGTTGCCGACGTCGGCCGTAGCGCGGGGAATTTCGAGTAGAGGAGCTGCGTGGCAGGCCGGTAGCTGGCGGTCCTGTCAGGTGCGACCATGGAGGCCCTGGCCGAACCGCGGTGGCCTCCGGGGCTGGCGATGATGAAGGTGAGTGTCTCGGGAAGGCCGGGGCGCGGACGGCGCGGACGCGAGCGGGGCGGCGCTGGCCGCGCGCCCCCGCCTCGGCCCTACCCTGGTCGGCCTCGCGACGCCGGGCCTCAGTTTCCAACGCCCGAGACCGTTCGGGAACGCACGGCGGCCGTACGCGGGGAGCCCAGGATGGCCGCCCTAACGAACCGGATGTTTTGGGGTTCAGTCACAACCGCCTCGTCACCAGGATATAGCCACTGTAACGCAGTGTCAACGATGGTGACAGTTCATCCCCCGAGAACTTCCCTGTGTTCACAGCGACATCACGCGTGCTTGGGTGGACGTTACATCGGATGACGTTTTTATGACCATATACCAAAGCAGGGGATCTGCTTGCCACGACTTGCCTTTTCTCCCAGAGGTTCAGGAGTGCGTCTCGTTCTTAGCACACCGCGACCGATTTCTCCCGGATGTTGCCTTGCCTTACTCAATAATGACACATCGCTCTTTTTTTTAAACTTTTATTTATGTTGTTAATTTATGAGACAAGGTCTTACTCTAGCCCCTGGCTGGCTTGGAGTTCGGTATGCAGACCAGGCTAGCCTCGAACTCAAAGATCCATCTGCTCCAGCATCCTGAGCGTTGGGTTTAAAGTCATGGGTCACTGGCCATCTCTGGCTCACATCTTTTTAAAACAGAGATCAGGACCTAGGCCCAGCACTTAGCCTTTCATTTTAAAAAAAATTATTGCACACTGATTTATTTCACTTAACATTTACTTGGGTAGATATGTTTTGTTTTTTTTTGTATTTTTGTTTTCCCTAAGAGTCACTCCTGAATTCAGGCTTTTCCCTTACTTTTCATAAAAAAACAATGTATTTACCTATAACAATTGATTATTCTTTGCAAGCAGATTTTGTTTTGTTTTGTTTTTGAGACAGGGTTTCTCTTACGTAACCCTGGCTGTCCTGGAACTCCCTCTATAGACCAGGCTGGCCTCAAACTCTGCCTCCAAGTGCTGGAATTAAAGGTGTGTGCCACCAACTCCAGCACAAGCGGGCTTTTTAATAGCTATGTAATATTTCATCACACGGATTGTTAATGACAACTTTTTTGTTTTTGTTTGATTTTGAGACAGGCTCCCTGTGTAGTATAGGCAGGCTTGGAGCTTGCTCCCCAGCGCAAGCTGGTGTCTAGCTTTGGAACCTCTTGCTCCTGCCTCTGAAGTGCTAGGTTTAAAAGTATGTGTCACCATAATGGCATTTGCTTATAATGATGTATAATGTGTTTAATATATAATAATATAATGGTATTTAAATTATTTATCTTAAACATTTGTTCTGTGCATTGAGTGTTTTGCTTGTTTGTATGTATGTGTTTCTACATGCATGACTGGTGTTTGTAGAGGTCAGAAGAGAGCATTGACTCCCCTGGAACCAGAGTCATAGATGGTTGTGAGCCATCTGTGAGTGCCAGGAATCCAACCCAGGTCCAGCTGATGCTCTTAACTGCTGAGCCATCTCCTCAGTCTCTACAGCTTTTAAGTAATAGATTCATATGATTTAAGAAATACATAAAATGAAACAGATCTTCCTGCCATGTCTCTCATTGTTCAGTTCCCTGCTCTTAATAACTATGATTTTTTTTTGAGTAGGGTCTCACTGTGTGGCTCTGGCTGTCATGAAACTATGTAGATCAGGCTGGTCCGAAACTCACAGAGATCCTCCTGCCTCTGCCTCCCAAGTGCTGGGAAATGTATGCCACTATCCCTGGCTATAGTCTACATTTTTATTCAGTGTGTGTGTGTGTGTGTGTGTGTGTGTGTGTGTGTGTGTGTGTGTAGCTCAGAATGGCAGCCAGGTCTAAATCCATGCTAGATGAGGACTCTACCCTTCAACTACCTCCTCAGCTTCCCACACTAAAGCAGTCTATCATGGTTACTATCAGTAACTTCCTTCCTACCTTCCTTCTTTTCTTTTAGATTAATTAATTAATTAATTAATTAATTAATTAATTAATTATGTATACAGTGTTCTGCCTGCATGGATGCCTGCAGGCCAGAAGAGGGCACCAGATCTCATTACAGATGGTTGTGAGCCACCATGTGGTTACTGAGAATTGAACTGAACTCAGGTCCTCTGGAGGAGAAACCAGTCCTCTTAACCTTTGGGCCATCTTTCCAGCCCTCAGTACCTTTCTTAAACTTAAAATTAAAAGATTTTTAAGTTGCAAGAATAAATCCTGTTGTGTTTAGCTTGTTGTCCAAGTTAACACTGACGGTAGCTAGCTATTTTGAAGGCTTCCTCATGCATAAGTATTGGACTACCGTGAGGAGGATGGGTATTTCAGTCTCAGAATCCTACCTCAGCCTCCGAAGTGCTAGGGTTACAGGGGCATGTTATCATGCCCTACTAGAGCCTTTGTAATGTGTGCCTTTCCTAGTCTCCAACTTGGTTCTTAAGCTGTGTGGTGACTGTTGATATCTTCTACCAAGTGGTGACCATATGCCAGAGGATGGGTTCTGAAGAGCTAGAAACATGGGAGAAGAGCAGGAATGCAGGGCTAACAGTGTGGCACAGGAACCCCCAGTGTCGGCTCTTCAGAGCAGCTGGGGTAACCTGAAATTTGAATTTAATTTAATTTGAATTTATTTTTATTTTTTTGTTTTTTGTTTTTTTCATGGCAAGGTTTCTCTGTGTAGCAGCCCTTGGCTTTCCGGGAACTTGTTTTGTAGACCAGACTGGCCTCGAACTCAGAGAGTACTGGGATTAAAGGCATGCACCACCACACCCAGCAAATTTAAATATTTGTGGGGAAGTTTTTTTCTCTATTTGTGATACTTTGCTGTTTCTCTGTAGTTAGATTTTGAGTAAGTGTGGAATTAATTTTAGGGGAATAGAGGGAAAGTTGTTTGCCAGGCATTGATCCTGCTACTGATGTCTTGCTGATACACATGTGTTTTTATATTTCAGACAATGGATGATTTGCTTCGCTGTGGAATTTGCTTTGAGTATTTCAACATTGCAGTGATAATACCCCAGTGCTCTCACAACTGTAAGTACATTTTGTTTTGTGTTAGTAAAAGCCCAAGATAGCTTTCATTAACACTGAAGATTCGTTCACATTTCATTTTTTATTTTTCATTCCTCTATCTTATACTTTTAAGAAGGTCTATGTCATCACCTTGTCTTGAATATGGCAGTTTCTTGCAAGGTTCTTATATTTTTCTCTCACTTCCCTTTTGATATTTTTATATGCCTTTTGTAGAATTTACAACAGTAAAGATTTTGGTATCACTATATGGTTATTTGTTGAGCAGTTTAATATGTTAAGTTTCAGGATGTTTTTAGCAGGATGACAGATAAATGGTTCAACCACTTGGTTTGGAATTATAAATCTTAAGCTTCAAAACAATAGGAATGCAGATGCTTTTCAACATGGGATTATTTCCCAGTAAACCTGTCAGGACTTGAAAATATTGTTAAGTGAAAATTTTGTTAACACACCCAACCTATTTCCTGTTGTAGCACAGAACAGGTAGAATGAATTGACTTCCTGACCTACTGGCTGATGGGGCGCTGTGCCTACTACCTCTACCCAGCATTTCAGAAGTATTGTGTTGCATATTGCTAGTGGAAGGTTGTGGTGGGGAGCAGGACAGGAATTCAAAATGTAAAATGTGGTTTCTGTGTAGTAAATACCGTTTTTGTATTCTGGGATGGTTAGAAAATTGTCCAACTGTCATAATTCAAGGACCATCTAGGTTCCCTCAGAATTCTCTCATTGAAGAGTACTGCAGATCGTTTTCTCACTTGGCAGCCGTGGGGGACTTAAGAGCAGTGCAGTAGCCTTGCTTATCTTCTTTATTAGAAATATGCTTTACATGCTTAGGGATAGGCTGCTTCTTTTCTCTCATTTGTTAGGTGATGTGGATTTAGCCCTCAAACATACTTAGGCAAGTGCTCTGCCACTCTCCCAAGTATTTTAATAGCTTAAGATTGTGGAACTTTGTTAACCTGTCATTTAGGCCATCTAGTTTATTGAATACTTAGATTTATGATCTTTTTTGTTCCTCTGCTTTCAAGTTGATATTTGCCTTCGAAAGTTAAAAATCAGTTCAGTGTGGCTTTAAAAAAGATGGGGAAAAGCTTTGACAAAAGGTTCTATGAAGTCATAATAAGATTCTGGCAGATGTCGGCTTTGTAGACACACCTCCGCTTGGCTCTTGAGTGCCACTTACCAAGTGGATGAATTTGTAATTATTGCCCAACGTTTCTCTAAATGTCAAAGTCTGTTGAGTAGTTTTTACTTCAGAAGATAGTTCTGAGAATTTATATGCAGAACTTGAGGCTGTGGAAGATGGTTTAGTGAGTAAAGTGAGGCTATGAGAGGCTATAAGTTCTGATCTCTACTACCCACATAAAAGCCAAGGATTGTGGAGTACATCTATAGCCTTAGTACTTGTGGACAGAGACAGATGAAATCCTGGGGCCTCACTCTAGTCAGCCTACCTGGAAAACCAACAGTAACAATGTGAATTTCAGGTTCAAAGAGACCCTGTCTCAAAAATAAGATGGAGGGTGATTGAGGAAGACACACATTGGCATCCATATGTACATACCCAGACAAGTGCTTCCACATGTAATAGACATACCAAAAACAAAACCCCTCACTACTTGGCCCATTTTGAACTATCATTACTTTTCTATTGCTGTGATAAAACACCATGACCAAGGCAACTTTGGAAGGAAGGGTTTATTTGATGCATTTTCTGCCAGAGAGATAAGAGTCCATTACCATCACAATAGGGCAGGGAATTGTGGCTGCAGGTCAGCAGCATGGCACTGGAGCTGGAAGCTAGAGCCTAAGGGCTCACATCTCATACCATAACAGGAAGTGGAGAGATGGAGCTTGAAATGGACAGTGTCTTTAAACTCTCAAAGCCTGCTCCCAGTGACTAACTTCCTCCAGCAAGGCCACATTTCCTAAGCCTTCCTAAACAATGTCACCAACTGAGAACCAAGTATTTAAATGCCTGAGAAAATGGAGGAAATTTCTTTGAAACCACCACAATGGGTCTTTACAAATGATAGTTTTCTTCCAGGTAGAGTCATATGAATAGCCAAGATCAACTTTGGGGACTGTTTCTAAATCTATTTTAATATCTTTACAAACAATGAAAATCATACATTAAAATGCAGCATGTTCAATGAGTTCTGACAGATATGTCATATAACAGGAACAGTTAAGTTTCTTCATCAGATAAAGTTCTTCCCATTTCAGTTAATGTGGTCTTTGAAATACCCATAGATCTATCTATAGCTAGATCTATCATGTGGTATTGTCTTGGATTGATAGGATTGATGGCTCTGAATCCTAGTTATTTATTGCTTGCTGCTCCTTAAACATTCCAGGATTCATCACCGTAAATCACTTTATTCTGTTTCACTCTGCTTGTTTTTTTTGGAAACAAGCAATAAACACTATGTTTGCATTTAGTTATTAAAGTTAGAATGAGTTAAGAAGCAGGTTAGTTAAACTAGACCCATAGTCACTGTGTTGTTATTCCAGACGAGGGTCACAAAGTTATGCAGAGCTGCACTCCTGGACGTTCTGGAGTGCTGGTCCTTAGTTGATTAGATGGTGTTTTCTTATCAGCTAAAAATAATTATTAAATTTTTGTTGAATCAGTATTATTTAAAGTGATGTTTTTTTTTTATGACCCATATCCACTGAATTAATATAAGTGAGAGTAGAGTTTAAATTGAAAGCAGTAACCTTCTCTGTAGGTGCCTGAGCTCAGCAACAGCCATGTTTAGGAATTTGGGACTTAAAATATTGCCTGGGAAACTTCTTATTGTGTGTCTTAATTACTTTTCTGTTGCTGTAATATAAAACATGATGACCAAGGCAACTTATAGAAGAAAGAGATTATTTGGGTGTACAGTTTGAGAGGGTTAGAGTCCATGACAATCGTGGTGGGAAGCATGGCAATAGGCAGGCAGCATGGTGCTGGGGCAGTAGCTGAGAGGTCACATCTTAATCCACAACCACAAGGCAGGGAGAGCTAACCAGGAATTCTGTGAGTCTTTTGACACTTCAAAGTCCACCCCTAGTGATACCCCTCCTTGAACAAGGCCACACTTTCTAATCCTTCCCTCACTGTTCCACCAAGTAGAGACCTAGTATTCAAATATATGAGCCAATGGGGCCATTTTCATTCAAATCACTACATTCCAGTCCCTGGCCTCCATAGGTTTGTGGCCATATAATAATGCAAAATGCATTTTGTCAAGCTTCAAAAGTGCGCATAGTTTTTCAATCTCAACACAATTTAAAAGTACAAAGTCTCTTTTGAAACTCAAGGCAGTATTTTAATCGTAACTTCTTGTAAACTCAAAATCAAAAAGCAAATTACATAATTCCAATGTACAGTGGCATAGAATATACCTTACTTTTCCAAAATGGAGGAAGAGGAGCACAGTGAGGAAATACTAGACCAACTGAAGACTGAAACCCAGCAGGACAAACTCTAGAGCCCCTAGCTCTATGTCTGATGTCAGAGGATTCAGATGCTTCTTCCTCTCCTGCTTTGCTGACTGCAGCACACTCCTTGCTCTTGGGCTGGTTCCACATACTCCCTATGTACAACTCTCCTTGGCAGATATCCCAAGGTTCTGGTACCTCTAACATCTTGGGGTCTTCAACACAATCCAGGCTTTGTTGTCACAGCTTCATGCAATAGCCTTTCAGGACCTCCATGCTGGGACTCCCCTGCCGAAAGCCTGACCTCAGTGGCTTTATTTAGCCATGGAGGAAGATTCCACAACCACTTTTCTTGTGTATCCTCATGACTTGAAAGCAAGAATCATGTTGATAACACTGCCAAGTTTTACTGCCCAGTTGGGATAGAGCCTAGCCCCCTCCTTGAGTTACATTTGGAGAAGCTTTCCTTTGTTTTCAGCAGCAGAAAATTCCTCAGGCATTTACTAGCTGGATGGGGTCTCACCCTGAGTGCACCCCTCCCTTTATTCTGTTGTATAGCAGATCTTCGTTAATCTTCTCATTTCTTTCAGCACAGTCCTTGGCTCTGACATTAAATTTTCTGTTGTTCTTTTTCTTCCCAAACTACATTCCCCCCCCCCACTTGTTCTTTTTCATTTTAGACCTGCATAAGAGTGATTACTAAGAACCATTGGATAGAGTTAGTGTTCAACTGTCTTAAAATCTCCTCTACCAAGGAATTAATCCATTATTTGCAATTTAGGTCAAGTGTGGAAAGTAGCCACATTCTTTGCCAAAATTATCACAAGACTGTTTTCTATCCCAGTTGCTAATATTGTTCCCCTCTGAAACTGTTTGATCTGGGCTGCCTTAGTCCACATGCTCTTCCAAGCTCCAACTAGGATGGCCCATTAAGCTCCACTTCAGCTGCTTTCCTAGTCCAAAGTCTAAGTCTTCCACATTCCTCCAAAAGACCGCATGCTCAGGTCTGTCAGAACAATCCCACTCCTGGTACCAGATTTCAGAAATTTCCAGCAACTGTCGGTCACACTTCAGATGTTCTCTTTGGTGCTGGCTTCAGTACAGGTTTCTTTTCTGGTTCCTGGGTGCTTTCTGCTTGGGGACTCTCTTCCCTGTAGAGCTGCCTGTCTAGTTTTTTTGGGGAGGGGTAAGTAGTTTAGCCTGTGACTTTGTTTTTCTGATGGATCTGAGGAGAGTTGTTGGTTTTTCAGGTTGTTCACAAATGAATGGCAACTGCCAGCTTCTTTGCAATGCCCAGAAGAGCTCAACCTTTTTTTTGTCTGTCCTTGGCCATATGTCCCTTCCTTTTCCCCCTTGGGGTACTGTTGTTGGAGCTGGCAATACTTTATTTGTGAATACTTGCACCATCAAAATCATACTGTTTTTGCTTCCTCAACTTAACTCAGCTGAACTTAGTCTTTGGGTAGAGGAGTCACTACTGGGGTATTATCTATTACACCAGATAGTTTTCTTTGGGAGTGCATTTGATGCTGCCTCAGCTATGAAGAATTTAGTAGATACTTAGTTCCTGCTTGACTTGTAATATAGTTGTCTTGTGCTTTGTTGGCTCTAAAAAACCTTAGCCCTGTGTATTGTTTTGGCATCTGTTAAGTGTAGGGTGGTGGGCATCGCAGGGTTAGGATGTGGGTATCTATGTGTTCCCGTGGCTCATAAATGGCTCATAAATGGAGCAGAGAGGGAGTGGTGTGTGCCTACAGAGTTGTGAGAGCTTAGAAATAAATGCGCTGCACTAGATGCATTTCCTTTCCTTGTTAACAATGCTTTTAGTTACATGTGTAGACACTTGTGGAGCAAGAAGGCTCTAGAAACTTAAAACTATAATGATGTAATGATGGAAGTACTCTAGTCTTAGTCCAAAATTTTGTTAAAAGTCAGAGATTCCTACATTACCGAATAGTGTAACTTCCTGTGTTACATTTTGTGTCTTTTTCAGATTGTTCTCTCTGTATAAGAAAATTTTTGTCCTATAAAACACAGTGTCCAACTTGTTGTGTGGTAAGTTTTTATTTTCTTTTTAAAAATTTTGTTGATTGGGGCAAGTTTTTTGCTTTCTGTGTCCACAGAAATGCATGGGATCATATGTAGTCCTGAATTAAGCCACTTGACTGTTTCCAGGAAAGACTTCTGAAGTATATGGAAGAGACTTGGGTTTTGTTCTGCTTCTCATCAGAATTTTTTATACCCTAAATGTATTTTGTGAAGTAAAAGGCTATTGACTCCTATAATTTATGTTTTTATGCTTCCTAACTTTTTATAATTTCTCACTTTGGATGAAAACTACTTGTGGGACTCTTTGTTTGTGAAGGACTGGTATTTGTGTTTGTAGAGGAGGCAAGAGTTTCATGACAACTGGGCTCACCAAGCTTCCCTGGACTCTTACCACCCTCCCAGACCAGCCCATCAGAACAAATATCAGCAAGTGTGCTGTCTGTCCCTGAAGCTTTTTCTTGAGGTGAGGACAGGTAGAGAGGGAGATGGAATGGGAAACTAAACCTGTATCTGGGGAGAGAAAGAAGAGACACGCTCTCTTGAACAGGACACTGCCAGGACCTGGAGGTGTGACCGTTCTGGCTGGTACATGGTGTCAGGATGTCTGTGAACTATTTCCCTGTGCCATAAACAGTGCAGTTGCCTCCAGCCTCGGAGGTCTTGGCCACTGCTGCGCTGCCTTTGTTCAGATGGACTGAGCACCAATGCGAACCAGAAAGCATCCATGCTGCAGTGCTGGGTGGTGTTTTTGTAGTTTTGAGTTCTTATTTTTAACCTTCTTTGAACACTTAATGCCTCTTGCAGTGTTATTACTTAGAAACTCCTCTCTTCTGTTTCTGAGTAATTTGGGGAAAGCTAGAGTTTTGGTATTTTGAAGAAAAATCCTTGCTCATGGTGAGTTTTGTCTTAATTGGTGCAGAGTAAATAGCAGATAGTTTTAACATGCTTTTGAGAGCTGTTATCAGGCTTCCAGTTAGCAGGTCCTGATTCCCTGGCTAAAGTTCTGCGTTAGTATGAGATGAATTCACTTTATTTGGAGGCTTTCCTGGAAGACTAGTGGGACAGAGAGCTCCAGGAAGACAGGTCAGACATGTTCAAAAGCAAGATTGTGACAAATTAATTACTGTTTTTGACCTTTTCCATCTGTTGTTTCTCTTTTCTAGACAGTAACAGAACCAGACCTGAGAAATAACCGTCTTTTAGATGAACTGGTAAAAAGCATGAATTTTGCACGGTATGATTCAGTTTTGTGACTAACCCCTAACTGCCTTTGTGCTTTATGTGCAGCTCCTCCCCATCCCCGTTCAGTTAGGGAGTGCAGGGTTGCATACTGGAGCAGAAGAAGGGACGTGATGATAGCCACTGCGCACATGCCAAGCTCTAATATGGAGTCATAGAATCTTCTCTATTTGATAGAAAGTCTCCGCTTCTGAACAGTGAAGAGTCAAAGTGTAGCTAAATTGGCTCTTTACTCATAGTTGGTGTTGTATTGCTACTGGGGTGTTAGGCTTTGAGGCTTTTTAGTGGACAGCACTAGAGAATATGTGTTTATGCAGTTGTGTATACTAACACTTTTGTGTACACATACCTGTAATTGGTTCTGTTTGTATGTTTTAACCTATTAATCAGATTTACTCAGCATGTATAATATAGTATGCTGTATGAGACATGCAACTGCTTCTCTGTAAAGTTCTCATAGATAGCTTTGCTCCTTCACTGTCAAATGCATGAATGTGTGAATACGAGTTTGGTTACCCAAAGGGGTATAAAAAGGCATGTTTTACCAAACATCTGACATTGTTTTAATCATGTTATTAGTTCACATGTCCACATATAGAACTTGTTGGCTTGTTGGAACATTCTTGGAGATACTTTACTTTGCTTCTAAAAATATCATCAGACTGCCATTAGAATTGCACATTTATTCATAGGTTTGTATCCTAAAGATGATCACGTTTGATACTCTGAATTCTCCTAGTGCTCATTCCAGTAACTCTAGTTAGCTGTTTCCTTAGTGAGGCCACAGAAAAATGGTGTATTTTTCTAGATTAAGAAACTACATGGTTCTTTGATTCTCCTGTTGAAGTCATTGCTTTCTTACTGTAGTCTCTTGTCTATTAATACTTTTTTTTTGGCAGCGGGGAGGGATATGTGTGGATGTGACATGTGTACTTGTTAACATAGTTACACTTGCATGTGTGTGAGGGTATGGAAGCTGGAGATCAATACTAGGTGTCTGTCTTTGATTACTCCCCACATTTTTGGGGAGTGTTTCTCACTGACTTGAAGTTCGAAAATTTAGGTAGGCTGACTAGCTAATAAGTTTCAGGGGTCTGCCTGTCTCTGCCTGGCCAGCTCCAACTTTTTATGGGGGTCCTGGGGCTAACTCAGGTCATCTTGCTTCCACCAAAGTCACTTAATGACTGAGCCGTCGGCTTGTGCGTCTGTATTTGAAGCTCCCCGATGGGCTCTGTCTTTTCCTGTGCTTGCCTTCTTGGCATTACCATTGTTACCGTCACCCTTGAGGTGCACATTTCTTGGGTGTTCACCATGTGCGGTGCTATGGTACATCATCTGCAAAATGAATAGGGATGAAATAGAAGTTAATCGATAGCATTACTTGTTTGAACTCTGGTCTAAGATTGATGAGGGAAGAACTTTAATCTTATGACGAAAATGTAAGGTATTTATATTGCTTGTTGATTTTATTTCTTGTCTTTCTCATCTGCCGTTACCATTTCACATGCCATTTTGATTTTTAAAAATTTAATATTCTAAATTGAATAATAGGAAGATATGGGAAATAATTTAAGAGGTTTCAGATACTGGATGATATGGATCTTTTACATTTTTATTATTTTTATTTTACATTTACATTACATTACAATGACCTTTTGGCATTCATTTTCAAAGAACACACTTTTTCTTGGCTCATTTTGAATGTTCTTAGCCAGGTATGGTAGTTCACCTTCATTCTACCATTCGGGAAGCAGAAGTTAGAGGATCATGGGTGTGAGGCTAGCTTGGGTTACATAACAAGACCCTGTGTTTTAGGGAAGACATTTTTAATCTTCTGTTTTGAAGAAGATTTTTTAGATTTTTTGTTGTTGTGTTTTTGTAAGGATAGCATTATTCCTGCTCTAAGTGATAAAGTATTATTATTTTTTTTAATAGAGGCCAGTCTCCATCTATAGCATTGGTTTTATGAATTGTTTGGGTTGGTCAAGTTTGGAGCTTTCTTTTGGTACTCCATATGTAAGAATATGCACATTTTAGTCTGACCCTCCCCAAGGCAGTTGATGGTTCTTAGGGAATGAGGAGTCATTTTCTTTCTTTTCTTTTTTCTTTTTCTTTTCCTTTTTTTTTTTTTTTTTTTGAGATAGAGTTTCTCTGTATAGTCCTGGCTGTCCTGGAACTTGGAGATCTGCCTGCCTCTGCCTCTAGTGCTAGGATTAAAGGCGTGCACCACCACCACCTGGCAAGAAGTCATTTTCTTTACTGAGGTAGCCATTGGTAAGTAGCTCTGTTCTAGCTCTGTTCTAGTAAGTAACCCTAGACCTATTCTCATGCATGCAACCCCAAGTAAATCCAGTAGGTCAAAACAAAACAGAAGACATGAAAGTAGGAAGATAGGACCAGGGCTTGTTGGGAGGAAGAGTTCTGAAGGATTGGGGGGGTGGGTAATAGAGGACGAGGGAGGTAAATATGGTCAGAGTACAATTTTATATGTTTGAAATTGTCAGAGAATTTACAAAAACATTTTAGATAACAATTATAGCAGATAATGCTCTTAGTATCTTACAAGCAGGATGTGAGTTCCCCTGTGGTTGTGGTTGTGTTGTCATTGACAGCATGCTGGCTCTGCATTCAGGTGGCACTGGGCTCCAGTCCTGGTTCTCTAGTTATGATAACAATCAAGAGATTTACCCTTTTGACCCGTGTCTTCATCTGAAAAGATAAATGGTGCTGTTGATGGGATTACAGATGAGAGTTATATGAAGGTCTTTTCAATAGTACTTAGTACATAGGAATCCAAAACCAGATTTCTGTCACTACTGTGCATTTCCACCTCATACATTGATGCTCTAAGGTGCTATTAAGAATATGCTGGGGCTGGAGAGATGGCTCAGAGGTTAAAAGCACTGCTTGTTCTTCCAAAGGTCCTGAGTTCAATTCCCAGCAACCACATGGTGGCTCACAACCATCTGTACTGAGATCTGGTGCCCCCTTCTGGCCTGCAGGGGTGTGTGCAGACAGAACACTATACATAAATCTTAAAAAAAAAAAAAAGAATATGCTGTAGGGGCTGGAGAGATGGCTCAGAGATTAAGAGCACTCGCTACTCTCTAGAGGCCTGGGGTTTGATTCTTAGCACCCATATGGCAGCTCACAAAGGTCTAATTCCAGTCCCAGGAGACTCAATTCCTTCTTCAGGCCTCTGCAGGCACTGCATACACATGGTACACAGATACATGTAGGTAAAAACTCATACATGTAAAATGAAAAAAGACAAAAAGAATGCTTTAGCGGCCTCTGTCTTCTTCATCAGATGGTTCTAAGCTGCTGTTTGTGTTTCAGATTAGAGCAAACACTTGCAGGGACTCCAGTGGTGTAGCTAAATTCATTATATGGCCTTAATGACTTATGCACCTAGAGACATATTGTGAGTTTTGATTCTTGGCCACATTCTAAAGAGATGAGGTTACTTGTATAGTTAACAAGTCAGCAAGCTCTTCTATACTTGCTGAGTCACAGTTATTATATTCAGAGCAAGATGCCCTGTGGCGGGCTGTCTTGTGGCTCTGCCAGCTGTCTGAGATCTAATCTGTGTGCTTTCCAACTAGATGACTTGGACCTGGGACTTTATTTACCCATCTGTACAATAAAATGCTGATTCCTTTCTGATAGTCTTTCCAGCTCTAAAAGTTCATAATCTGTCCGTGAGATAGCTGAGTACCTGTGATGAGTGCTGTTAGGTTCTGCAGTGCCAGATTACTTTGATAAGGATCCATAAGGGAAAGTGACCAATTCCATTTAAATGTAAACATCAATTGGGAAATTAGCATTTCCACTCAACTTATTTTTTTTTTTTGGTTTTTCGAGACAGGGTTTCTCTGCGTAGCTTTGCGCCTTTCCTGGAGCTCACTTGGTAGCCCAGGCTGGCCTCGAACTCACAGAGATCCGCCTGGCTCTGCCTCCCGAGTGCTGGGATTAAAGGCGTGCGCCACCACTGCCCGGCTTCCACTCAACTTATTTTAGTGTATATAAATTATAACATGTTTCTTGGTTTTAGATGTTCTCTGTTTTCATGTTTCTCAAGTCTTCAAACAGACATTTCTTCCATATTTCAGACACCTGTCAACAGCTTATCTCATATTTTCCTTGAGCCTCCTAAGAGCAAATAATGCTTAACATGTGCAAAGGGGACTGCTGATGCTCTTCTCTGTTCCATACCTGCTCTGATGATTGCTGTGACTCTGTGAACAGCAGCACTGGTGTGTGTGTGTGTGTGTGTGTGTGTGTGTGTGTGTGTGTGTGTGTGTTTGTGTGTGTTGGATGTGTGTGCCATGGTATGTGTATGGAGGTGTGGAATATTAGTTGAAGATGTGTTACATTCATTTATGCCATGGAATATTTGTTTAATCATGCAAAGATGTGTTGCATTCTTTTATGTTGCATTTGTTTAACTCTGTGAAGCTGTTTGTTACTTTGCCTGTCTAAAACACCTGATTGGTCTCCTAAAGAGCTGAATTGCCAGTAGCTAGGCAGGAGAGAGAAATGGGGGCGGGGGGAGGCAGGCAGAGAGAATAAATAGAAAGAGAGAGAGAAAAGAGAGGAACAAGAAAAGGAAAAGGAGAGGAGGACATCAGGGGCCAGCTACCAGCTACACGGCCAGGCATGGAATAAGAAGGAAAGAAAAGATATACAGAAATGGAGAAAGGTAAAAGCTCAGAGGCAAAAGGTAGACAGGATAATTTCAGTTAAGAAAAGCTGGCTAGAAATAAGCCAAGCTAAGACGGGGCATTTATAAGAGAGAATAAGTCTGTGATTATCTGGGAGCTGGGTGGCAGGTCCCCCAAAGAGTAAAGAGTTAAAACAAACAAACAAACAAACAAACAAACAAACAAACAAAAAACCCCAACAACATGGAGGTCAAAGGACAACCATCAATATCATTCTTTGCTTTTCCACTTTGAGATGGGATCTCTTTGTCACTGCATAAACAGCCTAGCTGGCCTCTGAGCTTCTGGAATTTGTCTTGTTGTCTGCCTCCCATCTCTCCACAGGGTCACCCTGGGATTGCAGGTGTTGTGTTACTACATCTGGCTTTTATACGACTTCTGGGGACCCAAATTCAGGTTGTGGAGCTTGTATGGTGAGCACTTTTACCTACTGTCTCCTCAGCCCTGTACTGAAACTATCCTTTTAACTACTCTAGCTAAAGACTTTGGTGTCTCTCTGAATTTGCTTTTATTACCACTTAATTTGTTAATCCATTAATAAGTCCCACTGGCTCTATCTTCACAGTGCTTCCCAAGACTGAGTCTTTGATCTCCTTACCATCTAGAATCTGGTCCAAGTCAGTGCCATCCTACTGGACCGTGATCATTTCCTAATTGTATTCTTACTTTTACTTAGGCTCTCTTAAAATCCTTCCTGATGGTAGTAACTAAAGTGATCCCTTTAAAGCAAAAAGTGAGGTCATGTGTAAAGCCATTTAGTGTGTAAAGAACAATTAGTTCCTTGTGTTACGCAGTTTTATGGTGTAATAATAAAGTGCCCAAGCTGTGCACATTATAAAGAGACATTTGGTCTCTTCTGGAGCTTTCAGTCCAAGACTGGGAGGTCTTCTGCGCTTACGCCTTTGGTGAGGATGGTATATTATAGTAAAAGGACATTTTGGAGCAAGTGCTTGCATTCCAGGTGAGAGACAGAAGATAAGGACTGTGCCCATAGTCCTGTGTTAGGACATGCTCCAGTGGCCTTAAGGACCTCCCATCATGACCCACCTCTTAAATTAGATCCAGAGCAACCCCCAGACTAATACCATTGAACACTCAGGCTTCCAGGGAGCATTTAACATCCACATGGTTGAATTCTCCATCTCACTGGAGCAGGAGCCCAAGTCCTTTCTGAGTTAGTCCTCTGGTTGCCTGCCATCTTGCTTCCTCTCAGCCTTCATGTTTGCCCTTTATTCAGCTGCAAGCCGCCTTGTTTCTCCGCTCTGTTGCTTTTAGGCCTAGACTTTGTGCTTGCTGTTCTTTGTAGGTGAACCAGTGTCTTCCCAGGTGGCCGCCTGGCTAAGACCCACTTTCTCTGAACTCTGTTGTCATAAGTTACCTTTTTAGGGAGGCTTTCTGACCAGCTGTAAAGAACCCTTACCTCATCTTCTCATGCTTGGCCGCATTTTATTTTATTTTGGTTTAATTTAGTTTAGCTTTTCTTGTGTGAGGCTGGCACCCTGAGCCTTCCACATGCTAGGGAATCTCTCTACCACTGAGCTGTTTTCATAGCCCTTTGGCTCCATTGTATTATTACTTTTCACATAGGTTGTATAAGCCTGTTCTTTCCCCCTTATTTTATAACTTTCATGAGTATAGAATTTGCTTTCTATTGTGCTTCTCTGGCAAGAGTAGGTGGTACTGGAATAAGTTAATGGATTTTAATTTTAGCCCCGAGAATAGTTTATTGTGACCTTGCTGCTACTGTCTGCCATAGTCTTTATTGGCATGCCTTGAAATAAGAGAGCCATTTGGAATTAAATTCACTTGAATTGTGGAAGAAAGGCAAAAAATTATCACTAGTATGCTGAGAGGATCAGTGGTGTCTCATCTGCGGTTGAATACTGTCTCCTCTCTTTGTCATTACGAGAGGAAGGCTTTTTTCAGAACCTTCTTCTCTGTACTAAATCAGAGACTGGAAGGAAAAGAGACTTGAAGAGGATGGTTCTGTGTGTGGGTGTTTTCAATTTCTGTTTCTTCTCTAAGACCAAGACCAAGGTCCTTAGGTGTTTGTTTTAATCTTCCTGCTTTTCCCTCCCTCCAACTTCCTCCTCTCCCATCTTCCCTTCTTTCCCCATCTCCCTCCTCTTGTTTGATCTCTTCCCCCCCCCTTTTCTTGGTTTTTGTTAGACATGGCATCACTATGTACCTGAAATTGGACTTGAATTAGAATCTTCTGCTTCAGCCTCCTGAATGCTGATATTATAGCCACACGCCACCACCCTTAGCTTAGTTTTTCTTTATTTTTAGTCTTTGTTTTTTTTTTAATTGTGGAAGAATTTAAATATATATGAAAGTAGGGAAGATAGTATAATGAACCCACCCTCTTCCCTACTTGTACCTAACTTTTCCTGTGGAAATGAAAATTTTTCTTTCTCTTTTTGTAGTTTTTGTACTCTTTATCCCTGGCTCCTGTTTTTGTTCTTACCTTTGGCTCAGGACATTTTCTGCAGTTTTAAGAGAATGTGTGTGTGGTAGACATCTGTGTCTGGTCAGTTGTCGGGGAGATGTCTCACTTGCTATCACTAATGATTGATAATAGCGAGTTGTTGTTTTTGTTTTTGTTTTTTTTTGTTTTTTTTTTTTGGTTTTTCGAGACAGGGTTTCTCTGTGTAGCTTTGCGCCTTTCCTGGAACTCACTTGGTAGCCCAGGTTGGCCTCGAACTCACAGAGATCCGCCTGGCTCTGCCTCCCAAGTGCTGGGATTAAAGGCGTGCGCCACCACCGCCTGGCTCGAGTTGTTTTTTAAGTAACATTTTATCAGATTGAGTTCTAGTCCTGCCAGGGCTGCATAGTGAGACCCTGCACAGAAAGAAAAGAAGAGAGAAAAGGAAGGAGGGAGGGAGGTAAACAAAGAAGCAGAGCTTTACTAAACCCAGACAGGCAGGAAAGGAAAACTATACTCCAATAGTCTTTCACAAGCGGTCACAAAAATCATTGGGGAAATAGTAAAACCTAGGCATAAAAATTTAAGTTACATTGACAAATCAACTAATGTAACTATATTAGCAAAATAAAGTTGAAAAATATGTCTAATCATAATGCTGAAAATGCATTTGATACAGTTTGGTACTAATTCATTGTAAAAATAAACTTCTCATCTGTTTCTTTTGAATATTTTATGGCTTGATTAGTAGCTATTTTCTTTTTTCTTTGTGAAGATTAGGGACCAAATATTGTAGAAGCTGCAAAATCTTTCTTTGATTTTGAACAAAAGTGTATTTTGTTCTGACAAGCAATTAAATTATCAGCTTTTTGCTTTTGTTCCATTAAAGATTGGTGCAATGTATTATTAGATTCTATTTTAATTTTACACACACATATATACATGCATACACATGTGTTTTACACATGTAGAAGTAAACACACATATGCATGAATGCACATTTGTGTAAACACACATTCTGTGCACACAATGTGGTCCCCTTTGCTGAGGTACAGCCTCTGTGACGTCTCACCACTATCCCCATGGTCTTCATAAGAGTATTTCCACTTTGGCTGGGCTAAGCTAAACATCTTTCCAGCACTGGCCGCTGGCATCTGTTTACCAATGTCTGTTTCCTACCAGACCCCTGTGGGGTTTTTTTTCTTTGTATACCCTGGAGATGATTGCAGATGGGTGTGAAATTTCCTTCTCATAGCTCCCACATGCCAAGTACCCTGTATCCCTAGTCCTCATCACCTCTGCCCAGAATTGTGTGCTCCTCTTTCTAGACGGTGAGTTTGGTTGTGATTGTGGCATAAATTCTGTGTTTCGGAGAAACAAGGGTTAATTGGGAAGATCCCAGGTATAATGTCTAATTTGACATCTTCATTTCCCATCTTTTTTCCCTCCTCCTTTGGTATGTGTTTCAAGGACTCGCCTGTTGCAGTTTGCTTTAGAGTCACCACCCATATCTCCTGTGTCTTCCACCTCAAAGAAAGTTGCTGTTAAAGTACATAATACTGAGACCATCAAACATCCTGTCAAACAGGGGAACAGGCTGATGGACAAGTTTCTGCTTAGAGAAACTGGTGAGTGTGTAGCAGACTTGTTGGGAAAAGAGAACGACAGGAAATTCAGCCCTCACAAAGAGATAAGCACCTCTGCTGAGATTAAAGAGACAAGTCTGGTCGGAAAGGCGGTACTTGGTCCCTCGGATGCTAACGGTCCTGTGACACCTTCTACATCTACCATGAAGCTGGATACTAAAGGTAGGAAGTCATTTTTATGTATGCCTTTTCCAACTTAAGGAAGTCTCATTCACGTGGTGTAAGATGAATAGGCAGCACTTTTGAGGGGGAAGTAAGAGGGATGATAGACCAGGTTTCACCTTACCATGCCTCAGACATTGATGCAGTCAGTGCTTAGAGGTAGGTTTCTTGTCTTTTTCATAGAATAGCAATCAGGAAGATTCTTGCAGAAGTGAAATAGTTTAATAGCTAATGCTTCTCATGGTAGCTTTCTGTTTTTAGGTTGGAACTCTCTCACCTCCCGTTCCAGTTAACTTTTTTTTTTTTTTTCTTTGAGACGGGGTTTCTCTGTGTAGTTTTAGAGCCTGTCATGGAACTCACTCTATAGACCAGGCTGGCCTCAAACTCACAGAGATCCGCCTGCCTCTGCCTCCCAGTGCTAGGATTAAAGGCGTGCGACACTACCGCCCGGTCATTCATCCAGTTAACTCTTAAAGAGGTCTCCATTTTATACTACTGGTTGAACATTTCCTTGATGCTCTGCCTGTAGCTGAATGCCTTTTGGCATGTGACATGAGCTTCAGTGACCCTGCCTTATTTCCTAGCTCTCCCTCCCAGAATGTCTCCGAAGCCAAGTTGTTATCTCACTCTTCCTATAGTGCACCGGTAGACTGACAGAGTAAGTGAAAACCAGCGCTGGTGTGCCACCTATTTGGGAAATACAAGTTTACTAGAACACATATTGTCTCTGATGTTTTCATGCTGCAGTGGTGCCAGAGCCAGGATTATGGTGTAGAACTCTTGTAGAACTTTTTTCCCAAACGAAATCTTAGAATGAATCATAACATATAAAATAGATACAATTCTCTGTATTCTATTAAAAATCAGAGTAGGGAGCCTAGAGAGTGTGGTGCCACAAGTCTTCCTTCTTTGGCCAGTGCTTTTTACCCATGGTACCTCCATATTCACTGATACCTCCATATTCACTGCATCTCCACAAAACTGCAGCGTTAATAAGGCATACCTGGCCCAGGAGCAGGGAGGGTCAGTAGGCTCAGCCAGATTGCACCAAGCCAGCCAAGCCTTGGTTTTATTCATAGTTGTAACTTCATTACAGAGCTGTTGAGATTGCTTCTGTCCTGTGTAAGATGGTCCTAGGGCCTGGAAAAACTCAGCATTATGGTTTGCTGGTACCTTGGTAGAAAAGTTACAACTTCCAAACTTACTTGCAGTCTCTAGGCCCAGGATTCTGATTATGTGACTTCCCACAAAGTAGCTAGTTACTAGTAACCGGGTTGTCTGCTCTCCTTGCTCTTGTGGGTTTTTCTAAGAGTAGATTATCCGAGATTCTGTCTTTTCTCTTAGTTTTACCTTTTCTCTGGCTAACAAATTCTCTCTCTCTCTCTCTCTCTCTCTCTCTCTCTCTCTCTCTCTCTCTCTCTCTCTCTCTCTTTTAAATGCAGTGTCTTGTCCTGTTTGTGGGGTCAGCATTCCAGAAAATCACATCAATAAGCATTTAGACAGTTGCTTGTCACGTGAAGAGAAGAAGGAGAGCCTCAGAAGGTAAGAAAGCTGGGCTTAGCCGCTGCCCTGCTTTGGCTGGTTGCTTCTGTGCTTTGTAGACGGGCATCAAACTAGGACTCCTTTTGTCCTGGTGACTAGTACTCCTGTTTCCTTGACTGCTTGATTTTTTCTTTAACAACTGGTTCCTTTTCCATCCCCTCACTCTTGTTCCTTTAGCTCACTCTGCCACATGTCAGTAGTGGATCAGTGCTTTAGAGAAACTACTGACTTAGAATCACTTGTCTTTGTTGTTGTTGTTTGGTTTTTTTTGAAACCGAGTTTCTCTGTGTAGCCCTGGCTCTCCTGGAACTCACTCTGTAGACCAGACTGGCCTCGAACTCACAGAGATCTGCCTAGGCATGTACCACCATGACCAGGCTAATTCACTTATCTTTTAAACTTACTTTCTTTTTAGAATTTTCAAACTGTCATGTAAAGGCCTTGCCCCCAAAAAGCAAAAGACAACTTGAATTTGGAACATATAAAATCTTTCATTAATTCTTTGGATGTTTTAATATTTTAAATAAAATCTTTAAATAATTTAATATTTTAAATATTAATTTAAATCAAACTTATTCTATATTTATCTCTCTGTCTGTCTGTATTTATGTGGTACTGAGAATTAAGTCCAAAGCCTACTACCTAGTGAGCTTCTTCAAAAATCAGTTTTCGAATAGGCTGTTCTAGTAACATATGTAAAAATGATACAGAAGAATATTTTTGACTGAGTATGGTAGTGTATGCCTGCATTCCTAGCATTCAGGAGGCTGAGGCAGGAGACTCAAGGGTAACATAGACTACTGAAAAGTAGGTCAGCCTAGGCTGCATGGTGACATTCCAGCCCCACGTCCCTATTTCCTCCTTCCTTGCCAGAGAGTGTATGGACCGTAATGATCTTCTCTCCAAAACACCAAGAGATGGCATTACTAATAAATTGTGAGGTCAGTATTTGTACCTAAACTACTTTGCTACTTTGCCTCCTTTGTGTATCAAAGTCACCAAATCTAAAATTAGTCCACTTTGTGTGTTCAGGAGTGATGTTTTAATTGAAGTTAAATTGCAGAGCTTCAGGAATCTGGCTGGTAGAGACAATAAGGAAGCAGAAGTGTTGTGTTTGAGTCTGGTGATGGTAGAGAGATGTGGTTGGGAGAGGCATGGGCAGCAAGGTCAAGGGCAGAGTTTATTTTTAGAGGTAGGGTACAGGCCTCAATCTTCTGCCATTGTCAGATGTAAGTAGAACAGTGGTGAGCACGGAATGAAGTTGGGGAAAGTTGGAGAGAATAGGTGGAATCGAGAGAGCCGTGGAAAAGAGGAGGCTGATGATGATAGTAGTGATGCCTGGAAAGTCGGAGGAGGGGATGATTGGCTCTTCTGTTTTGAAGAGATTCTCCCCAAAGCATTCTCTCCAAAGACAGGACCATCTTACTGATTTAATTATTAAAACTACAAAGGTGCCACTCAGTTTTTATGAGTAAGTTTGGAGTGAATGCAGGTTTCAAGGGACAGGCTGTACTGGTGTAACTTACGAAGGCTGCTATTGAAGGGTGGCCACGTGTTGCTAACTCACAGCACAGGCTGTCCTTGACTCCAAGCCTGAGCAGTCCTGTGCTCACAAGGACTGCCTTCTTGTACCCACAAGTTTGTTGATGGGAATAGAATTTAGATGTTTATGTTGCTTAATTAGGGGGAATTTGGAGTAAGACAAATCAGTAGCTCCCAGGATGACTTCTAGGCCATAAGTATCTCATGACTTGCTTTTTTCCTTCTGTTTCTCCGCAGAGAATGAGTCGGAAGTAGAAAAGCTGAGTATTTTCTTCCTGGAGAGTAAGAAATTGGCACTGATAATCTTGTTTAGATTGTTCTCTTTCTAGACGTATCTGTTGTATTCTTCTAATACTTTGAGCTCTGTTCAGTGGTGGTCCAAATCTGGCTGCACAAAGAGCCCTGCCAGTGGGTCCTCAGTACAGCTTAGAACTGCCACTCTTAGCAGATTAAAGGTGCTGAGAAGTCCTCCACTCAGGTAGCTGCTGGAGTTTGTTGTATTTCATAACTCCTAATTTTTTTTTACTCCAAGGTGGTGTGGTTTTTTTTCTTTTTATTTGTTTTTTATTTTATTTTTTTGTTTTGTTTTTGTCCTCACAAGTCATTTTCTACAAAATTGTTCAGGCACACTTAGGGAAACATGGAGCTGAATCTTTTTGGTTATATCTTGGCCTGGGTTTTGGTCACCTGAGAATCTCTGTGTCTTACAGTCTCTTTTTACAACACTAAAATGTCAACTGCTGGGTGTGGCTGCTAGCTCTTACCCCACCCTATGTGGAACTGTCAGTACAACTCTTTCTATTGAAGTCCTGGTTCTGAGACTGACATGTGATTCAGCTTCACTGAGTAAGCATAGACAAGATCAGTGTCATGTGATGCTTGGGGAGCTGCTTCTCTGTATTTTATTTTAATTTTATATGCATTGGTGTTTTGCCTGCATGTATGTCTGTGTGAGGGTGTCAGAAGCCCTGGAACTGGATTTACAGACAGGTGTGAGCTGCCATGTGGGTGCTGGTAATTGAACCTGGGTCCTCTGGAAGAACAGCCAGCTCTTAACTGCTGAGCCATCTCTCCAGCCCCCATAGATTCAAATTCTTGACAGAGATGGTTGATGTCTGGTGTTGCTTTCATTGTGAATGCCAGTGGACACTACAGATCTTTATTAGAATTTCATAGATGTAAATATAATTGTCTGTCCTTGATAAAATAAATGTTTTAGTTGGAGACTTAATGAATTGTTTCTCCTTTTGTACTTGTCATAAACACTGCAAAATGATTCAGTTGAACTTCCTACTGTGATTTTATTTTACCATAATGTCAGCAATCTTGTAGAGCCCAATTGGATGACATTATAAGAAGAATGGTTTGGGAAAAATGTACTCTGTTGAGGTTTGCAGGTCCTTTTATAATTAAGTAGTTATTTCTGGCTTTCAGGCTTTACTAACAGAGCATAAAAGAGATTTAGCCAGAAAATGATCCTTGTGCGGGTAGAACTGTTTTATCTATACTTGACTGTAATAGTGCTCTCAGTATGACCTTTGGACGACGGCATCAGATTTACCTTAGGAAACTGGAAAGTAAAGATTTTCAGTTTCCACCTCAGGCCTGCACCATGTGGCTGGGTGCTGCAGAGAAAGTGACCGAGCGTCTGCATTTAAAGCACACTCTCCTGGTAGTTCTGAGTTTGGGAAGCCAGCTTTTTTGAACTTTCCATGTTTATCTTTAAAAATTTTTTTTTGTTTTAAGCCCTGTTACCCTTAAGATCTTACTAATTTGCTGTTGCTATTTTGAAATGATTGCAATTGTAAAGACCACTTTGAAAACTGCTTATTATGCACTTAATTGCCCATAGGGCTGAACCTCTAGTCAGAATGCATATACTGACTCCCTTGGCCATCTAGCTTCCTTTGTGTGGGTGTGGATAGGCATGTTCATGTGTAGGGGTGTATGTGTATGTTAGCATGTGTGTGAAAGACAGAGGTCAGTCCTGGGTATCATACTCAGGAGTGTATTCTACCTTGTTCTTTGAGACAGAGTCTCTCAATGGGACTTGACTTTGCTGGTTAGTTAGGCTATCTGGCTAGCAAGCTCTAGGGATGCCCTTGTTTTCACATCCTGAACTTTTTATATGGATGCCAGAGGTCAAACTCATGCTTGTGAGGCAAGTACTTCATTGACTAAACTAAGAGGATCTCCCTATCATCTTCTTTTTTATCTTAATGGCTCAACTATTTTTCTAGTCAGCCAGGTGTTATGAAGGTAAATTACTCTTTTGTTGAGACTGTTTGATAATTCACAATAATCCTCAGATCTCTCTCTCTCTCTCTCTCTCTCTCTCTCTCTCTCTCTCTCTCTCTCTCTCCATTTTAGTTCTGCTCACAAAAGGAAGCCGCTGCCCAAAACTGTGTATAACTTGCTCTCTGACCGTGATTTAAAGAAAAAGATGAAACAACATGGATTATCTGTTCAAGGAAGCAAACAACAGCTTATTAAAAGACACCAAGAATTTGTACACATGTACAATGCCCAGTGTGATGCTTTGCATCCTAAATCAGGTAAAGTAATACATTTGTACTCATCTTTGGATAAAGCAAGTATGTAGCTCAGAGATTATAAGGAAGAATTTTCATAAGTACTTTTTTGGCAATAGTTGAGATATGCAAATGAATTTTTTCGAGAGCTACCTGGAGAACACTATGCTAAGGCCATCTTCTTCTCAGGTGGTCTCATAGCCCCAGTTCCCTTTGCAGAGGAATCACTTTTACCAGTTTTTTGAGTGTCTTTCCAGAGATGGCAATGGTGGTAAAATGATCTAGAGTCCTGCAGTTCTACTACTTTATGCTGAGTGACTGTGAACAAGTCACATCTCTGTACTTTAGTTTTCTCATCTATAAAATGAGGATTATAATCCTACATGTTGTATAATGTCTTTGAAGTTGTAGGATGCATCCAAACTACCTAGTACAGTACCTCAGCAAGTTCTTAGAACTCCATGGATGTTTCCATTATGATTATTATACACAAACAGGCATCCTTAGTCGATAGTGATTCATAAAAATGTTAGTATCCTCCACATAGTTTTCACTTGACCATGCATACATTTTGCAGTTCTTTATAGGTAAGAACTCCAAAATTTAGAATTGCTTTATGTTTAAAAAAATGAAGAGTGATATAAAAAAACAGAAAAGTGCATGGTATGTTAAATTTTCATTAAGTGAAAATGCCTCCTAGATTATGGTCAGTATCCTAGACTCTCCTTCCTCCCAGTCTGGTTGTCTCCATACATCTGACCACTGTTTATTCACTCTGCCTCCTTGAGCTAAATGAGTTGGGTAATAGCCACAAGTTTATCCCTAGTTTCAATGCCGTCGTGGTTAAAGCTCTTTTTTTCTACACTACATTTTTGTCCACTACTTTACCCAGGCTCAAGCTCCTTTTCTTTTCAAATTGTACACTTTTTATATTTTTCTGTTGTTTTCTGTGAATTAGGATAAGTGTATTGAGCAGTAGTCATGCCATAGCTTGAATGTTATACTATTATAAGATTTCTTCCACCAAACAAATTAGTTCATTACTTTTTAATTTAGCCTCACTGAAATAGTCAAGACATGGGCGGAATGCAGTCCGATTCTTTGCTAGCATATAACACAAATGGCCTCTACTCTTGTCCTAGTTCTTTGTAGAGCTCTTGCCCTCTGAAGCCTCTTGAGTACAATCTTCATTGTCCACATCTCAGCGTTCTGGTCTTCCTCTTTTCTACCACAATGGCCTTTCAGGCTGTACTTAGAGTATTTGAGGACTCTAGCCTGCAGCCTCACACTCTTCCACAGCCCTTCTTCATGTTACTTCCAAAGGCCTGTGAATCACATGGCCAGGTTTTTCACAATTGACTTCATTTTCTGTACTGATTTTTTGTTTTTGTTTTTCAAGACAGGGTTTTTCTGTATAGCCCTAGCTGTCCTGGAACTCGCTCTGTAGACCAGGCTGGTCTTGAACTTAGAGACCTGCCTCTGCCTCCCAAGAGCTGGCATTATTAAAGGCATGCACCACCAACTCAGCTTGTTCTGTACTTTTTTTTTTTGTATCAGTTATTTTTCTTCTTGGTGTGACCAAATACCTGAGAAGAAGCAATGTCAAGAAGAGAAAATTTATTTTGACTCATTGATTGAGGCGACACATGACTGGGAAGGCATGGCAAAGTTTATGATTCTGAGTGTGCAGCTGAGACTCCTACCATCTCTGTGCCAGAAAGCAGAAAAATGGGAGTGCTGGCATTCTGTAGAAGCAGCCTACAATTGGTGTTCCTGTGTCTGAGCTTCTCAGTTGTGTTTTTGTTATTGTTTTATGTTTTTATGCTTTCTTGGTAGCCGCCCTTGGCCTTTTGCAGTCCATCAGAAAGTGTATTTGTGGGGCTGGAGAGATGGCTCAGAGGTTAAGAGCACTGGCTGTTCTTCCAGAGATCCTGAGTTCAATTCCTAGCAACCACATGGTGGCTCACAACCATCTGTAATGAGATCTGGCGCCCTCTTCTGGCCTGCGGGCATACATGCAGACAGAACACTGTATATACATAATAAATAAATCTTAAAAAAAAAAAGAAAGTGTATTTGTGATCTTAATCAGATGTAGGTCATTGCAGACTATCTCCTGGACATTGCTTTTTTTCACCTTGTTGCTCCTGATCACTCCCAATCTTGCCATCTGTTTTTGGGTTTTAGGACATGTAGTTGCTGTTTGACTTGAGGGATTCAAGCAAAATTATAGTTGGATAGATTGTCTGTTTTTCCTTGCCATTATAGTAAGGGTAATGGTATTGTTAGCTCTCTACACCCTAAACAGAATCAGAAATCTTTCTGAAGATTGCTTAAACCCTTACGTTGTACCCACCCTAACATAATTTTCTTACTACTGTAGAGTATGCCGGATGTCTTGAATGTACTTGTGTTAATGCATGGGATAGAATGTAACTGCTTTTCCTTTCCTATGATACCTGGACTCAGTAAGCTCCCAAGGAGATAAACAGTTCTTGCTTACAGATGATACTGTTTACATTGCTTCTGCCAGCTTTATAATATTAAGGAGGCAGATACATATCAATGCTTGGGAAAGAAAATCTTTTGTTTAAGTGAAGCAGTTACTCTGAATTTAAAAGTAAACTTTAGTAGGATTATTTGAAGTTGATATAGATGGGAGATTGAAGTGGGTGTAGAGGGAGATTGAATGAGGTGGGAATAGAGGGGGGATTGACTAAGAAGTACTCTCATTTCACCCATGTATTTACCCTACAATGTAACCAATGATCAAGCCATCCTAGTTTTTTGTCTACCTTTTAAAGCCTCTCCATAGAATATTTTGAAGTGATTTGACTTAGTATCTTTTTACATATAAACGAGTATAAATGATTGTCAGTTCTTATTCTGTACCTCATGCACTTAAATAGATGGACTCTTGATACTAAAAGACAGCATTTGCAAAATTTGCACTATTTATGTTTAAAGAAAGGCATTTAATGTGTGATCTCCCAGCTACGGGTGGTTTGAAACTTTCTCCAGATACTGGTTTTGGAGGCAAGGGCATTTCCCGTGGTACTTGTAGATCTTTCTCTCTCTTTGCTGAGTTTCACTACATTTAATATATTGAAGTTTGAGTGGTTATTCTCTAAGAATTTAACTCATAGTAGTAAATTAATTCTCATATTTCATTGGAATTGCTGTTTATATATTCAAGAGAGAAGGCAAAAATAACATGATATGTCTTACAATTTTATTTTGATATGTAGAAGAGTTGAGTGTTAAAATTCCACATTCTTTTAATGTATTACTTTGAAATATTGTTAGACTTACTATTTTAATTACTGTTCTATTGTTGTGATGAATGAAACACCAAGACCAAGGCAACTTTAAGGAATCACTTAACTGAGGCTTGCTTATAGTTTCAGAGTGAGTCCATGACCATTATGGCAGGGGGGCATGGTAGAAGGCGCTCGGCATGGCATGGCATTGGAGCCATAGTTGAGAGTTCATATCTGATGTTCAAGTTTCAGGCAGAGAAGAGAGTATGTGGGACTGGGCCTAAGTGGGCCTAAGTGGGCTTTTGAAACCTTAAAGCCCAGCCCTAGTGACACACCTCCTCCAACAAGGCCACACCTCCTAATCCTTTCCAAATATTTCCACTAACTGGGGACCTAGTATTCAAATTTATGGGTCAGTGGAGGCCATTCTCCTTCAAACCACCACACTTATTTTTGAAAACTTGCAAAAAGAAGGCAGAAATCTGCATGTGTTTATACCTATCTTTCTCTATTGTTAAAACCTCATATAGGCTAGAGTAATGATCAAACAGTGTGATTAAGTGGGTTTTTTTCTTCTTCTTATTTTAATAGCTGCTGAAATAGTCCAAGAAGTTGAAAACATGGAGAAGACCAGGATGCGCCTTGAAGCCAGTAAACTCAATGAAAATGTATGTTGAATCTCTTTCAGTGTCTGTGTAGTAGTGCAGGAAGAAAAAATTGAATTGAATTTTTAAAATTAAAAGCCAGCCTTTGTAAGTTCTTTTTAGTAGAAAATGTACTGGAACACATTACTATTTAGAGCATTAAGATTTTCTTACAGCTTATGTCTTCGGACAGTATTTGTGTTTAACAAACTTACAGCATAAAGTACAGCCCCAAGCAGAGTTTGGCTTATAAGCTGGAGTCATGTAGACAAAACTCTTGTGGCTCTGTTTCCTGTCTGCCATGAGGTAAAGACACTCTTTACCTCACTTATCCACCACTTATCCTGCCACTGTGGTGTTCTGCCCGGATGCCTGGGGCCAAGCAGCCATGGTCTGAACCCTGAACCAGTACGTGAACTACAAGCTAGGAGAATGAGTGTGTCACTAGGACACACTGGCAAAGAGAAACAGCTAAAGAAAAATGAGCTGGGCAGTGGTGGTGCACGCCTTTAATCTCAGCACTTGGGAGGCAGAGGCAGGTGGATCTCTGGGAGTTCGAGGCTATCTTGGTCTACAAGCCAAGTTCCAGGACAGCCTGAGCTGTTACACAGAGAAACCCTATCTTGATAAACAAAAACAAAACCCCAAAACAAAATTAAAACAAAATAAAGAAAAATAAGAATATTCTAAGATTTGTGATCTTTATAAACACCTATGCATAATCTTCATAAGTGTTAAGAATGAGTTCTGGGTTTACTCTGCTATTCCTGATGACTTTTGTAGCTCTTAAGAGAGACAGTATGACCAGGATTCACATTCGTTAGTCCTACTGCCTGTGTTGTTGTTGAGCTATTTAGAAATTCCCTTCCTGTGCCAGTGAATTCAAGTCTATTCTCTACTTTCTTCTATAAGATTCAGTCTATCTAGTCTTACATTGAGGTCCTTGATCCATTTGGAGTTGTTTTGTATAGGGCAATGGCTATGGATCTATTTTTATTCTTCTACGTGTAGCTATCTGGTTTGACTAGCACCATTTGTTGACAATACTGTCTTTTCTCCAGTGTGTATTTTTAGTTTCTTTGTCAAAAATTAGGTGTTCATAGGTGTGTGCAATTATGTCTGGGTCTTCAGTTCTATTCTATTGGTCAACATGTCTTCTTATGTAAATACCATGTTTTTTAAATGAGTATAGCTCTACAATACAATTTGAAATCTGTGATGGTGATACATCCAGCATTTCTTCTATAGCTCAGGATTGTTTTTGCTATTCTGGGTTTTGTGTTTATAATGTAATATTCTTAATACAGAAACCCACTTTAGTTGACAAAATAGACTTCAAGAATTAGAGAAGAGATTCATGAAAGTTTCAAAGCAGAAAGAGGAAATGACATGTACAACTAAAAAATCAGACTTGCTTAAAATTTGTCTTTGTTTTCTTAATATATTTTAATTTTTTTTATTAAGTTTTTAGTAACCACAAAAACAGTGGATTTCTTTATGGTGTTTTTATATATTCATATCATTGTATTTTGCTCATATTCACCCCATCCCTTGTACTGGCTCTCTTCCTCTACCAAATATTTCCCCTTAATATTTTACTTGAGAAACCTTACATATGCAGAAAGGTGAAAGAAATGGTACTATTCTTTACCATCAAAGATTTATTACCTGACACGATTTTCCTCCCTTGTTTGTCTTCTAGATACAGGTTTGTATGTGTTTTGATTTTTGTTATTTTTTTTTCAACTATTTGAAGTTGGATACAGATACTTTATGTATTTTATTGGGATATTTCTATTGATGGGAAGAACCAAAACTTTAAATCTCTCTACAAATGAGTCTTACCTTGGCCTAAAATCCACAACTACTGTCAATCTACTTATTATAACATTTTTTTTTTTTTTTTGTCAAATTATATGAGCAACTGGGGCTTAGCTTAGCATATGAGATTACTTGCTGTATGAGCATGAGAACTTGAGTTCAAATTTCCAGCTCTCATGTCCAAAGTGAAGCATGGCTGTGTATATCTGTAACTCCAGTTCTGTGGGGAGTGGGGACAGGAGGATTGCTAGGACTTGCTGCTCGCCAGCCTAGCTTCAGGTTCAATGAGAGGCCCTGTCTCAAGAAAATAAGGCAAAGGGTCTTCATGTGGATACAAGGATGCACATCCATAAATACTTGCACATATATCACATACACAATGTAAACAACCTCTTAGGTTTCACTGTAATATTGTTAAAGAAAAAAAAATAGTATTTAATCATGGTGAGGTTTCCTTCTTGGATACCACTTGGTTTGAGGGAAAAGTTGTTTTTCCTTTTTTGTTAATAAAAACTAAAATCTGCTGGTGAGAGAGAAGTGATAAATGAGACTGTGTACTGTTTATGATAGTCGGAGGAAACATGCAGGCTCCTCAGAAAGCAGATTGTCTTCCTCTGTTTTAAGCAACCACATTTGAGATTTTGAAACTTGATTTCCATTTTTGTCATTTTAGATGAAATTCTAAAGATTTTTTAAAATTATTATTCTAGGTCATGGTTTTTACAAAGGACCAAACAGAGAAGGAAATAGATGAAATTCACAGTAAATATCGTAAGTTGTGCAATATGTCCTTATTGTAAAGAATTTAAGTTGCTGTTTTACATCTTAGGTAATTAAAAAATGTTTGATATTAATGTTCAAAATAATCTTGTTAATGTTGCTTCAGAGATGGGGCTGTACCTGTTTTTTGTTTTTTTTTAAATATTTGTGACTAACATTCTGCTTTGAGCTCATTGTCACCAAGCACTTGGCAAATATGAGTTAGTTCTCAGAAACCATTCTGTGAGAAGGGGTGAACAGAGGAACGTTCAGGACTGCATTGAGTCTCAGGCCTGCAATAACAGTTCTGCTGTAAGGAGGTACAACACTTCTGTGGCTCAGAGATTTGTGTCAAAAATAGGTTTCCTTCTCTTGTTAGCATTCTCTCACACGTTACCATTTCCTTTTTTGTAAGTGGTCTGCCAGGTCACACCTTACTGTTTTCATTAACTGGGTAGTTGTTATTTCTTATTTACTTAGTTGATTGGTGTCTGTCTGTCTGTCTGTCTATCTATCTATCTATCTATCTATCTATCTATCTATCTATCTATCTATCTATCTATCTATCTATCTTTTTAGAGACAGGGTCTCTCTGTGTAGCCCTGGCTGTTCTGGAATTTGCTATGTAGACTTGGCTGGCTGGCTTTGAACCCACAGAAATCTGCTTGCTTCTATTACTTTTTTACTTTTAATTTTGTTCTATTTTTGTAGCACTGAGGATTGAATTCAAGGCTTTGCATGTAGTAGACTAGCATTCCTGGAAGAGTTACTTCTCCAGCCTCAAGTTTAATGAGGACTGAAATTCCTTATTCCTCTTGGTTCTGGCTGATTCTCCTTCTCATTCTCCCCACACTTCTCCTCTCTCTCTTTTTCCCTCTTCCTCTCAGTCTCCCTCTCTTTCTCTGTCTCTCTTTGTTTATTGAGTCTGGGTCTTGCTCATTAGCCCAAGCTGTCTCAGCCTTCCTAGTGCTGTGTATGTGTGTATGTGTCACTACACTAGTTAAGGGCCAGCAAGCAGCATATAATGAATGTTGGTTGAGTGAGTGTTCCAGTTATGGTATGGTTTCATTGTGCCCAGATAAAGTTTTCTTTCTTCCTTCCATTCTTACTTTGAAGGGTGGATTCAGCAGCAGGGAAGGAGTGTGAAAGGAGTGTGAAATCCCCACATAGTCCCAGTTTGCTTTCTTTTTTTTTTTTTTTTTTAATTTATTTTACATACCAACCAGTTTCCCCTCCCTTCTCTCCTCGAGTTCACTCCCCCTACCTCCTTTCTCCCCCCCCCCCCCCAGAATGGGTAAGGTCTTCTCCCATGGGAGTAAACAAAGCATGGCATATCAAGTTGAGGCAGGACCAAGTTCCTCCTCACTGCATCAAGGTGAGTGAGGTATCCCACCATAAGGAGTAGGTTCCAAAAAGCCAGCTCATGCACCAGGGACAGATCCTGGTCCCACTGCTAGGGGCCCCACAAACAGACCAAGCTACACAACTGTCATGCACATGCAGAGGGCCTAAGTCCGTCCCATACAGGCTCCCTAGCTGTCAGTCTAGAGTCTGTGAGCTCCCCCAAGCCCAGGTCAACCGTCTCTGTGGGTTTCCCCTGTCATGATCTTGACTCCCCCCTTGTTTATATAATCCTTCCTCTCTCTCTTCAACTGGACTCCCCGAGCTTGGCCCAGTGCTTGGTTGTGGATCTCTGCATTTGCTCCCATCAGTTACTGGATGAAGGTTCTATGATGACAATTGGGTTAGTCACCAATCTGATTACAGAAGGCAGTTCAGTCACCCTTTCCACTGTTGCTAGGGTCATCCTTGTGGAATCTGGGGAGTTTCCCTGGCACCAGGTTTTTCTCAAACCCCACAATGCCCTCTTTTATCAAGATATCTCTTTCATTGCTCTCCTCTCTGTCCTCCCCCAGTTTGACAATACCGATCCCTCATGTTCCAGTCCCCCACCTCCTCTCCTCAAACCTCCACCTCCTGCTCTCAGTTTACCCAAGAGATCTCAACTATTTTCCCTTCCCAGGGCCATCCATGCATCCCTCTCGGGGTCCTTCTTGCTACCTAGTTTCTCTAGGGCTGTGGATTGTAGTCTGGTTATCCTTTGCTTTACATTTACTATTCACTTATGAGTGAGTATACCGTGTTTGTCTTTCTAGGTCTGGGTTACCTCATACAGGATGTTTTTTTCTAGTTCCATCCATTTACCTGCAAATTTCATGATGTCATTGTTTTTTTACCACTGAGTAATACTCCATTGTGTAAATGTACCACATTTTCTTCATCCATTCTTCGGTTGAAGGGCATCTAGGTTGTTTCTAGGTTCTGGCTATTATGAATAATGTTGCTATGAACATAGTTGAGCAAGTGTCCTTGTGGGTATATGCCCAAGATTGGTATCATTGGGTCTTGAGGTAGATTGATTCCCAATTTTCTGAGAAACTGTTATACTGATTTCCAAAGTGACTATACCAGTTTGCACTCCCACCAACAGTGGAAGAGTGTTCCCCTTACTCTATATCCTCTTCAACATAAACTGTCATCAGTTTTTTTTTGATCTTAGCCATTCTGACAGGTGTAAGATGGCATCTCAGAGTTATTTTGATTTGTATTTCCTTGATGAATAAGGACACTGAGCAATTCTTTAAATGCATTTTGGCCATTTGAGATTCTTCTGTTGAGAATTCTCTGTTTAGATCGGTACCCCATTTTTTAATTGGATTATTTGGTATTTTGATGTCTAGTATCTTGAGTTCTTTATACATTTTGGAGGTCAACCCTCTATGTGTCAATCAGATGTGGGATTGGTGAAGATCTCCCATTCTGTAGGCTGCTGTTTTGTCTTATTGACCATATCCTTTTCCTTACAGATGATTTTCAGTTTCAGAAGGTCCCGTTTATTAATTGTAGATCTCAGTGTCTATGCTGCTGGAATTCAGGGAGTAATCTCCTGTGCCAATGCGTTCAAGGCTACTTCCCACTTTCTCTTCTATCAGGTTCAGTGTAACTGATTTATGTTGAGGTTTTTGATCCAATTAGACTTGAGCTTTGTGCATGGCAATAGATATGGATCTATTTGCAATCGTCTACATGTTAGCATCCAGTTATGCTAGTACCATTTGTTGAAGATGCTTTCTTTTTTCCATTGTACAATTTTGGCTTCTTTGTCAAAAATCAGGTATTCATAGGTGTGTGGATTTATGTCAGGATCTTCTATTTGATTCCATTGATCAGTGTGTTTTGGTATTGTTTTATGCCAATACCAAGCTGTTTTGTTTACTATAGAGCTTAAAGTCAAGGATGGTGATGCCTCTAGAAGTTCCTTTATTGTACTGAGTTGTTTTGGCTATCCTGGGTTTTTGTTTTTCCATATGAAGTTGAATATTGTTCTTTTGAGGTCTCTGAAGAATTTGTGATTGCATTGCATCTGTAGATTGCTTTTGGTAAGATTGCCACTTTTACTATGTTAATCCTACTTATTCAAGAGCATGGGAGATCGTTCCATTTTCTAATATCTTTTTCAGTTTCTTTCTTCAAAAACTTAAAGTTTTGTTAGTCAGGTTTTTCACTTGTTTGGTCAGCTTTACCCCAAGATATTTTATATAATTTGTGGCTATAATAAAGGGTGTTGTTTCCGATTTCTTTCTCAGCCCTCTTATCATTTGTATTCAGAGGGCTAGTGATTTTTTTTTTTTTGAGTTAAACTTGTATTCTTCCACATTATTGAATGTGTTTATCAGCTGTAGGAGTTTCCTGGTAGAATTTTTGGGGTCACTTATGTATACTAATATATCATCTGCAAAAATTGAAAGTTTGACTTCTTCCTTTCCAATTTGTATCCCCTTGATCTCCTTTTGTTATCTTATTGCTCTAGCTAGAACTTTTAGTACTATATTGAATAGATATGGAGAGAGTGGACAGCCTTGTCTTGTTCCTGATTTTAGTGGAATTGCTTTGAGTTTCTCTCCATTTAATTTGATGTTGGCTGATGGCTTGCTATATGTTGCTTTTATTATTTTAGGTATGTTCCTTGTATCCCTAATCTCTCCAATACTTTTATCATGAAGGGGGTGTTGGATTTTGGCAAAAGTTTTTTTAGCATCAGATGAGATGATCATGTGGGTTTTTTTGTTTGTTTGTTTTTGTTTTGTTTTTCCAGTTTGTTTATATGGTGAATTACATTGACAGATTTTCGTATGTTGAACTATCCCTGCATCTCTGGAATGAAGCCTACTTGATCATGGTAGATAATTTTTTTGATGTGTTCTTGGATTCTGTTTGCCAGTATTTTATTGAGTCTTTTTGCATCAATGATGAAGGATATTGGTCTGTAATTCTCTTTCTTTGTTGTATTTTTGTGTGGTTTGGGTATCAGGGTAATTGTAGCCTCATAAAAAAGTGTTTGGCAATGTTCCTTCTGTTTCTATTGTGTGGAACAATTTGAGGAGTATCAACATTAGCTCTTCTTTGAAATTATGGTAGAATTCTAAGCTGAAACCATCTGGCCCTGGGCTTTTTTTGGTTGGGAGACTTTTAATGACTGCTTCTATTTCCTTAGGGTCATAGGTCCATTTAAATTGGTTATCTGGTCTTGATTTAATTTTGATATGTGGTACCTATCCATAAAATTGCCCATTTCTTTCAAATTTTCCAATTTTGTAGCACACAGGTTTTTGAAGTATGGCCTAATGATTCTCTGGATCTCCTCAGTATCTGTTGTTATGTCCCTCTTTTCATTTTTGATTTTGTTAATTTGGATGTTCTCTCTCTGCCTTTTGGTTAGTTTAGATAAGGGTTTGTCTATCTTACTGATTTTTCTCAAGGAACCAACTCTGTTTCATTGATTTTTGTATTGTTGTCTTTGTTTTTCTATTTTATTGATTTCAGCCCTCAGTTTGCTTATTTCCTTTCATTTACTCCTCCTGGATGAGTTTGCTTCTTTTTGTTCTAGAGCTTTCAGGTATGCTGTTAAGTTGCTAGTATGAGACTTCTCTAAATTTCTTATGTAGTCACTT